GCCTAGGGACTGGGCTCAGTTGCTGAGTGTGCATAGAGTTGCCAGGAGTCTGGTATTTTCCCTGCTTCTAGGCAGGGGAAAAAACCAGAAAATACTGGACATTTTAGGTGTACGGTATTTTCTGATTTTTTTTTTTTTTTTTACTGAATAGGAAGTGAAAATATCGGACACCTGGCAACCCTATCATACAGTGCTCACTGCTCCCAACCACACAGATAACCTTTTTCTTGATAGCCAGTCAGGACCAGGTCCATCTGGGGGAATTCCAGTTTCTGCACAGTATCATTATGAGAGGATTGAGGTCTGCAACCTCTGATCTTGGAGCTGTTTCCTGGAGTTGGTTCCCAAAGAAACTTCTTTTGAACCCCAGTTTATATAGTGAAACTTGAGTTCTGCTAAGCAATCGCTTAACCAATTATTTTACTAACCAATCCTAACATACTGTAACAAAATTGTCTAACCAATCATACACCACTACTTTAATTGATTTACACCTAACAAAATTAATTATACAGTAGTAAGAAACAATTAAAAACCATACAGAGATCATAGAGACAAAATAATAAGAAAGTAGAAAGAATGGTAATAGAACAGTAATGGGATGAAGATTTCACAACCCCAGCTATTGATCCGTTTTTTTTATCTGGTGTTATTGTGTGCCATTAGGTCAGGGTCTTTTTTACAGGCTGGTATTACACTACTTTTATTCCATCAGAATTTCATTATGTCTGTGTGACTTCCTGCTTTTCAGCTAATGGTTGCTGCTTTTTCAGTCTGGCTGCAGACAAAGGCTTTAGGCTTTCAGAAAAAGGCCTTATCCTTACAAGTTCACAAGGCAGTAATGAGACTTTTAATGTCCGTGTTGCTTTGAGACATGAAGTAGTTTACGTATTCTGTGCAGAGCCACACAACTGAGTCTGAATATCTGCTTTTGGGGCGGGGAGTAAGGACTTTCCACTCCGGACTGTAAACCTAAAATGAGAGACAGTTGGTTGCATTATCTGGAAGGAGGGATCAATTCTCAAATATGTGGGAAATCCTGGTGAGGCTGCAGTAGGTTTATAGTGTTCAGTTACCACACCAAGAAGTGTGTGTGCTTGTATGTGCATGTGTGCAAGTAAATGTTGTAAGGTTTTTGTAGTATATGTAATTTGTTCTTAATAGGGTTGAACTGTTACTTCTAACACCAGGAAGTTGACCCACTTCCAATAACAGTAATTCTCAAATATGTGGGAAATCCTGGTGAGGCTGCAGTAGGTTTATAGTGTTCAGTTACCACACCAAGAAGTGTGTGTGCTTGTATGTGCATGTGTGCAAGTAAATGTTGTAAGGTTTTTGTAGTATATGTAATTTGTTCTTAATAGGGTTGAACTGTTACTTCTAACACCAGGAAGTTGACCCACTTCCAATAACAGT